TACAAAAATATGGAGAAATTTTGATTTTTATTTCATAGATATTATGTTAGCACATGAGGAGGTGTGACCCACCAAGGACTACTATGCAAGAAAACTAAATATTTCCTCTCAATTTTATGTGTTATTCTTTGTCCCTTTTGATATATCGTTTTTCTTCCTGAAAACTTTCTTAATTTTCCTGTCCCACTTGTCACTGACTTTAAAGTTTTTTTCATCTTTTTAGTTCTTATTTCTAATTTGCTTATTTTCTCTAGCATGTCACTTTGTATTCCCTCATTTGCAACGCAATAACATTTTTCCAGATTGCAGGAATGACACTTACTTGAAATTCTTTTGAACCTAAGGTCAATAGGCAACTACATGTAAATTCTCTCCCTTTATCTCCTTTCTGTTCTTGACCCTTTACCGTTTACCCAGGTTTGGTTTTACTTCTTATCCATTCATGATCTTGCCTGGACCGGTGGCACAGAGACAACTATGACTTGATGAAGTACCCCCTCAAATATGACCCTAGCGCATATAATATACCTGTTACTTCCTCTAGTGTGAATGTGTCTGTGTGCTTGTGTGAGATTCCCTGCTTTCCTAGTCCTTCTCAAATGGGGCATACAGAATGAAATGCAATGTTATAATCTCCACATTAAATATACAACATGCAATACCTTGTAAAGAGGGAGATGAAGAGACCTGAATTCAATAGAATATGATAATACAATATAAAATAATGCTTTACTATTTATAATAAAGCTTTAGCAAAGTATTTCAAATCCCTGAAAGGAAGCCCTATGTAAAATGCTGTTGTGATTTTTATTGAGGTCACTCCACTTTAGTCAGGGTCGTGAGCACCTCAGCCAATCTGCCTCTTGATTATGAGGAGGGGGTGGGAAGGAGCCATATTCAAACATTTGACAACTAACTCAGTATAAATATATAAGTCAACATAAAAATCAAAAGTTAAGAATGCATTACTTTTTATTTTCTTACGTTAAGGCATATGTTACCTATATTACAAAACTGCATACCAAGGAATATTAAAGCATAACACAAATCACTCACTGTATCATTCAAATAATTTCTAAACAATTTATTATCTTCTGCAAATTATGAGTGTGCTCTTTTATTTTTGACATAGATGACACCAATTAAATGATGTCCCTGTCAGAGATATGATTTAATATAGGAAATTGCCTAAACTTCTTTTAAAGACTTCACCAGATTTAGAGCCATTGGGTGACATGAAATCTCAGTAAGTTTGTAGTTTCTTTTAACATCAATGATATTTCCATACTGCTGAATTATCTGTTAGATAATGCTGAATTGACAATGGTTGCACTCCATTTTTTTAGCCCTTAAATACTGTGTTCATTTTTTAATATTCAGTGTATTTATTATCAATTAAATCATAAAAATTCTTGGAGGAATATCCTATTTAATTAATTCATAGAGCTTGGCAAACATCATTTGGCCAAATTTAGGGCGTAATAAATCAAGGAACTTAAACGTCTATTATATTTTTGAGTTTTGTCATAAAAATTCCATTTTCATATGATTTACTAGAAAATCTATATTTTCTCCTATAATTTACCCCTTATTAATTTGTGTCAAATAGTATATATAAACATTTTTCACATCTAAAATCTTTTTTTCAGTTTCCAAATGTCTCCAACTCAACAAGCGGAACATTTTTCCCCTTGTAAAGTTAAAAAATGATTGGCGTCTCTATTAGAATATAATTTCTGAAAACCAAGTCTCATTTTGCTTTTTATAAAGAAGCTTGTTTTCCAAATGCTAAACATAAAACTGATTAGTAGTGATATACCTATATCAGAATTATTCTGTCAGGTAAGTTCCATAATATTTTCCTTTTCTGAAATGATGTACTACTCCAATTATATGATAATGTTTAAAAATTTAATCTTTTTCCAAAATATTTTTATTTTATTGATTTTTATTGACATTTGATAAAGTATTTTTAAAGCTTTTATTATTTCAAAAACTTTGCTTTACTTGAACATTTTTATTATTACAAAAGTTTATTTCATAAGACTAATTTCATAAAGTTCTTTAATTTTTTCTCTTGATGACTGCAAATGAACTTTAACAGAAATTGAATATCATTATGAGAAAAATAAATCTAGTAATTTTAATTTAAATGATCAAATTTAGGTCATTATTTGAAACCAACATTTACATATCAAGTAAAAATGACTGATTTTTATTGAAAATCAAGTTGATTTTTATTTCAAAAACACAAGGAGGGGGGGATATAGCTCAAGTGGTAGAGCACTTGCCTAATATGCAGGAGGTCCTAGGTTCAATCCCAAGTACCTCTTCTAAAAATGTTTTTTTAAAAACCCTAATTACCTACCCCCACCCAGGAAGAAAAAAAAGTTATGTTTTATATTTAGTTGTTGATGTTTTTTATTTTGATATTTTACATAGCAAAAGATATTCCAGACTAACTTCATTTTTGCAGTGTATTATTAAATAATCCAGGACTAGTTTCATTATTGATAATATTTTTTCCCCTCAGATTCAAAAAATTCACACTATGATATCTAAAAGAAATGCTTTGAAAATTTAAACCTTTGTCTCTTTTCCAGTGTTTTTAATAATTGATCGTAAAATTTTTAATGCTATTTAGAAAAAACTATGTACTGATACAATAAGTGTGTACTAACAAGTAAACTACAGTCAGCACCTATTTGGAAAGTAACTACTACATAAATCATACATAATGATAAGTTGATGATTCTGCTAAAACATTAAATGTTTCATAAAATCTACGTAGTGCTTGAAATGGGCCAACAAACTGCTAGTTCTGAAAAACAGTTCTCAGATGTTGTTACAATAGGAATTCCATTTATCACATACCCTACAAGATATCTCTTTCATTATGTGCTCACAATAAACTTGCAATAAGTTAATGTTATAATTTTTATAGCTCTTTATCAGTTACTACACTTTATATATTTGCCAATAGGTATGGCTGTATTTCAGTATTTTAATCATTGGTGGGTCCCACTGGTGCTTACTGACTAAATACAATCTTGAAGTTGGAGTATGTGGAGTGTACCAGATGGGCATGAGGAGCCAGAGCCTCGGTGTTGAGTGGAAAGGCCCTCATTTCTGAGACATTGTCAGCGGGCTCTAGATTTGATTGCTGGGAAGGCGGCTCAAACACTTCACAGGCTTCCATGCTTAGAAGAACCCCTTCAGGGAACTTGTGTCATAACAACAGAGAGGACAGCATTACCTACACGAGGGGTCTGGGCATGTGCGAACCATACTCCACCCCCGCCCCACTTCACCTACTCCTTAGAGAGGCCTGCTTCTCTGTGGAATTGTAGGTAGGAGATGCAAGGTTTTTATTCACCAATGTTTTAATAAGTCATGTCTTTAATGAATGCTCTTGTTATCAACAAGCACATGTGGTGGTTTAAAAATCTATGAAGGTCAATTTCTGGATTGCAATTTTAACCTAAAAATATCTGGTATTTTCTGCCTTAAAACAGTGAATTTATTTACTAGAATTAGAAGATTCTAAATTAGTGCTTCTTAACCAGGGTCATACATCAAAATCACCTGCAGAGTTTTAAAAACTATATACACACATGTTCAATTCCCCAAAACAGATCTACTGAATCATAATCCCCAGGTAGGGAAATGGACAACACAGACACTTCGTGTTCCAAAGTTTACAGATGCTTCTCATTTCTAACCATGATGAAAAAACACTATTCT